CCGGCCCATGTCGGGGGTTCCTCATGGGTTCTGGGCAGGGATCCACAGAGCTGGGCGGGGAGTCAGCCCAGGGGGCACAGACGGGGTGTGGCGGCGCTGCTGGCTGGGGTCTGCCACTGGAAATCTCTGGACTCTTACTGAAGATGGGCCAGGAAGCAGCTGGCCCCTGCTGGGCCCTCCTGGGACCCTCTGAAATGCTGTTGATGGAGTGAATGAACCTAGGGCGCCCGGGGAGGGCAGGGATGCTCTGGCCAGGCAGCTCAGGAAGCACCTGAGCCCCGTGACTGGGGTCTGGGATAGCATCTCCAACAGGTTTGGAGCTCACGTGCCCCATCCCACCTCTTCCCCTCTGCACCCACACTGGTACCCCCGGAGCAGCCGGCCTTTTTTTTTTCAGACCCAGGCTCTCAGCCTGGACCCCCTGGGCAGGGCCTCCCTCCTGAGCCTCCGGGTAAGGGGAGTCAGGGCAGCCTCTGGCAGTGTGGCAGCGCCAGACAGCAGACAGGAGCCCAGCGCAGGGAAACTGAGGCCCAGCTGCACTCACAGAGATCTGACTGGCCACACGGCCGTGCCCTCTGAATCTCAGAAGGGCCCGGGCTGTGAACTCTGGGGCCTTCTTGGAGTGGGGGCGGGCAGATGCGCCCGGGCCCGAAGGCCCAGCAGCCCCCGGCCATATCCCACGCCCAGCCCACAACTGAGCCTCATCGAATGGCCAAGCCCTCAAGTTCTTCCAGAACTATAGCGCTTGGACCGCATGTGCCCCTCAGCTGCCTTTCGTGGGTGCCCACAACACCCATGCAGGGTGCCAGGCTGGCCCTGGAGGATTGTCCCAGGCGACAGTGGGCTCCTTGCCACGGCCACGGGACAGCAGGAGGCCAGAGAGCAGCCAGAGAGGATGATCGGTGCAGACCAGCCTCGGGAACCAAGTGCAGGGTCCGAGCAGCACCAAGATGAGCGGCGGAGGATGTAAGGGTCACCAGGACATGGGCTGCTCTCCCTACACATGTGTGCACCCACACAGACATACGCACGCCCGTCGCCCTCCCATGTGCATTCACATACGCTCACATACATCACACACACACACATACACACGAACATTCCGTACTCATATACACACACCGTACAGCCACACACATCACACACACACACTTACACACTCACATGCATCACACGCACACAAATATCCACACTCATGTACTTGCACTGTACAGTCACATACATCACACACACACACTTATGAACACCTCACACCCATATACACGCACTGTATAGCCACGCATCACACACCTCACACATACACTATGTATACTCACATGCGCTCACATACCTCACACACCCTCATGTACATGCACTCATACACACTGTACACTTAGATACACATATACTCACACACATACACAAATACGCACTCACAAATTCACACATTCATCATATACCCACATATTCACACACATATATTCACACTGACAACACGCTCATGCACACACACACTCGCACTTGTACAGACTCACATACATGCTCACATGCACACAGACAGACATCATGCACCTGTTTACCTGGCCTTACACTCCCACACGGACTCCCACATACTCCCACAAAAACTTTCCCACCCGAGCGCACACGGCCTTCCCGGGCTGCTCGTCACGCCCCTCCCCTGTCTGATGTGTCCCCTCAGCCGCTCCTCCACTGCCCCGCACACCTGCCTGGCCGCCGAGGGTCTGTCTCGCTGACCCTGGGGGGGTCCCTCGACCCGTGCACTGCAAGCGTCTGTGGGTAAACAAGTGACTGAGTGAACAGAGGACGGAGGGAGTGAGTGAGGGAGTGAATGAATAAATGGAAAGGGAGCAGGAGAAGGAAAAAGGCAGTGAAAGAGTGAGTAAACGAGTATGTGAATGAATGAGTCGAGTGAGTAAGAAGGTAAGTGAATGAAGGACTCCGAGTGAATGAATGAAGGGTTGTGAGTGAATGAATGAGTGAATGAATCATTGGGTGAGGGAGTGGAGAAATGTGAGTGAAAGAGTTAAGGTGAAGAGAGGGAATAAGTGATTGAGTGAAGGAATGAATAGAGGAATGTGAAAACGAACAAGTGAAAGCGCGTGAGTGAAGAAACGAAGGACTGAGACGGAAGGAACGTGAGGAAAATAGAGCAAATGAAGGAGAGTCAGTGAAAAGGGAGGAACGAGTGAAGGAAAGGATGAATGAGTGTAAGAGTGAGTGAGTGGGAGGGAGGCGGAGTGAGACCAGAAGGCCTCGACCCTCAGCCCCGCCAAGCCTGACTAACAGGGTGTTGGTGAGGGGGAGACACCCACGTGGACGTGGCCAACGGTTTGACGCAGACGCGCAGATCGGCCGCGGGCGCTGGGCTCCGGGTGACTCATGGCCACTCCTGGGAAGAGGGGCTGCCAGCGGCAGTGAGTCAGGCCAGCAGGAAGGCCAGCCCGCCTCTGCCCAGCTGCCCGCTGCCCCAGCCAGCCCAGCCCTTCAGCGAGTGTGGGGGCGACAGGTGTCACTCAGGGAGCACAGGGAACAAACCCCTCCTGGCAGCACCTCAGGCCTGGCCTGGCCCTGGGCCACACACCCACCTGGGTCTCAGTGGTCGTTTTTTTTGTTTGTTTGTTTGCTTGTTTGTTTAAATTTTTATTAGTGAAACACCATGAGGTACAGTTGTAGACTTACAAATTTTTGTGCTTGGGTTTCAGTTATACAATGATCCAGTACCCATCCCTTCACCAGTGCCCATTCTCCATCATTTACATTTTTTTTTAAATTTTTGTTAGTGAAATACCATGAGGTACAGTTGTAGATTTACAAATTTTTGTGCTTGGGTTTCAATTGCACAATGATCAAACACCCACCCCTCCACCAGTGCCCATTTCCCACCACCACGGGTCCCAGTATCCCTCCCACCCTCATTGGTCTTTTGGAGAGATGTCACAGCCTGACGTTTCCTTCAGAAACTCACAGTTAACTGCAGGAGGCATTGGAGCTCTTCTCGGGACACTGGGGTGTCTGTCACCCCGCAGCGGCAGAACAAAGGGGCCACCACCGTGCCCTGAGGCTGCTCGGTGGAGCTTTGGGTTTTTTGGGGGGCAGGGGGCACCAAGGCGATGTTATTTCTGGGGAGGGGAGGGGCTTGGGGGTGCAGGGTCACTCCGTGCTGTACCCAGGCAAGGCCGAGCCAGTCGTGTAGCCTTGCAGGTTTATTTATTTATTTATTTATTTATTTTTGCTTTTTGGATCACACCTGGCGATGCTCAGGGGTTACTCCTGGCTTTGCGCTCAGGAATTACTCCTGGCAGTGCTCAGGGATGCTGGGAATCGAACCTGGGTCGGCCGCGTGCAAGGCAAACGCCCTACCCGCTGTGCTATTGCTCCAGCCCCGGCCTTGCAGGTTTAAGTTGGGGGCTGCGGCTTGGGGACAGCAGAGACACCTTGGGCCACTGCGGGCCTCCCTGTCACCATCTGGAGGGCCCATGTGAGGGCTCTCCTGCGGGGGGTTCTGGAAGCAGCCGGCCATGGCGGGGTGCAGGAGCCATCCTCCCGGCTGTCCTGGGGAGCCCCCCACACTGTCCCCCGTTGGCCACTGGCCCCGCATGCTCCACTATGCTGGGGGGTGGGGAGACTGAGCCTCCCCCCCACTCCCCAAGCGCTATTTGGGAATTCAGCCCAATTAGACCAAGCGGGAAATTCCAAGGAATGAGATTCCTTGACTCCTGTGGGCTCAGAGACTGTCATTGTCCTCCCGTTGTTCACCGATTTTCTCGAGCGGTCCCAGTAACGTCTCCATTGTGAGACTTTGTTGTTACTTTGTGAGACATGTTGGCATGTCGAATACATCACAGGGAGCTTGCCAGGCTTTGCTGTGCGGGCGAGATACTCTTGGTAGCTTGCCGGACTCTCCGAGAGGGGCGGAGGAATTGAACCCGGCTCAGTCGGGCCAGCTGCACGCAAGGCAAACACCCTGCTGTTGTGCTATCGCTCCAGCCCTAACCTCCAAATTCCGAGCTCCCAGCACAGGCAAATTGTTCGACTTCCACATGCGTGTCCAAGAGCACATGTGCAAAGCAAGAAGCGGGCTCAAAGAACGTGTCATTAGCTAGCCATCAGCCGCAGAAAGTGTACCCGGCCACAGTGGCCCCACAGTCACAGAGTGGGGCCCCGCCACCGCTCAGTCCCCCGATTCTTGGCTGTGTATGGAGTCATGTCTTTTTTTGTTTGGGGCCACACCTGGCATACTCAGGGCTGACTCCTGCCTCTGCACTCAGCAGTCACTCCTGAGTCATTCCTGAGGAGCTTATGGGACGCCGGGCATCGAACCCAGGTTGGCTGTGTGCATGGCAAACACCTTACCCACTATGCTATCACTTAGGCCCCCGTACACTCTTTTTTTTGGGGGGGGGTGGGGAGCCACACCTGGCGATGCACTGGGGTGGTTACTCCTGGCTCTGCACTCAGAAATTATCCCTGGCGGTGCTCAGGGGACCATATGGGATGCTGGGAAGTGAACCCGGGTCGGCTGCGTGCAAGGCAAATGCCCTTCCCACTCTACTATCGCTCCAGCCCCTACACTTCATTTTTATATCTTCAGGTTAAAGGGTAAAAATAAGAGTCAGGACTGGGTTGTGACTCAGAAGCAAAGTGCCCCACTCGCGGAGGGGAGGTCTTGGGTTGGATCCCCAGCTCTGCAGAAAGCCCGTTCACGCCTACTGCTTAGGAGCGAACCCGGTGGCCTGCGCCCCATCCCTGGGAGCGGGCCTTGGCGGGAACCTTCCAGGCTGGCGCCCTGGGCTCCAGGAAGCAGAGACCTGGGCGCCTGGTGACTGTGGAGCCCCGGTCTGCACCTGTCTCCTGGCGGGGGGCGGTGGACACAGGGTCCCATTCCGGCAGAGGGGTCGGCTGCCAGCTTCTCACCCTGGCGCTGGCCCTCGGCACCCTTCGCTTGTGGCTGGAGTGTCCCCGATGGTGACGTTTTGTCTTCTCTGCTGTCCCTGCTGCAGGCCATGTTTGAGCTGGTCACCTCGGAGGCTTCCTACTACAAGAGCCTGAATCTGCTAGTGTCCCACTTCGTGGACAACGAGCGGCTGAAGAAGATCCTGCACCCGGCAGAGGCGCACATTCTCTTCTCCAATGTGCTGGACGTCATGGCTGTCAGCGAGCGGTGAGCACTGGGCAACCACCCTGTCCAGCTGGGCACTGCCCAGGAAGCCCCGCCCGCCCCAGGTCCCTGAAACCCCGCCCCTGGGATCTCCGCCTCTAGCCCCGGAAACCCCGCCCCAGGTCCCTGAAACCCCGCCCTCGGGAGCCCCGCCCCCAGCCCCGGGAGCCCCGCCCAGACCCTGAAACCCCGCCCCTGGGATCCCCGCCTCTAGCCCCGGAAACCCCGCCCCAGGTCTTTGAAAACCCGCCCCTGGGAGCCCCGCCCCCAGCCCCAGGAGCCCCGCCCACCCCTGAAGCCCCGCTACAGCTCCCTGGAATCCCACCCTTGGAGGCCTACCCCATCCTTGCCTGGGCACAGCTAAAATAGGTGGCCGGCTAACCTGGCTTTTCTGGAATGTTCCACAACTAACTAGAAATAAGGAGTGGGGCCAGAGTAATAGCATAGCAGGTAGGGTGTTTGCCTTGCACACAGCCAACCCAGGTTCAATCCCCGGCATCCCATATGTTCCCCCAAGTACTGTCAGGAGTAATTCCTGAGCACAGAGCCAGGAATGATCCCTGAGCACAGCTGGGGTCCAAAAACCATAATACAAATAAGTAGGTAAACCGAGCAGCATGACCTGGAGTGCCTCCCAGGTCCTGAGTATTGTCAAGTCTGAGCCATCAGCCTGGTTGGCCAAATATCAACAGGGCCCCCCCATCCCCTGGCCATTGTTTGACACCTCCCTGCAAAAGAAACTGAGCACAGGGGCTGGAGCGATAGTACAGTGGGGAGAGTTTTTGCCTTGCACGCAGCTGACTGGGGTTCAATTCCCAGCATCCCATATGGTCCCCTGAGCACTGCCAGGAGTAATTCCTGAGTGCATGAGCCAGGAGTAACCCTTGTGCAACGCTAGGTATGACCCAAAAAAACAAAAAAGAAAAGAAGGAAGGAAGGAAGGAAGGAAGGAAGGAAGGAAGGAAGGAAGGAAGGAACTAAGTACAAAATTCCTGATGGCACCAACAGCTCCCCCCGTCCCCAGGTTCCCTGGCTGCTCCAGGGGTTCCTTGTGCACCCCACCCCCACCCCCACCCACACTCCCGTGCTCCTCCCACAGGTTTCTGCTGGAGCTGGAGCGGCGGATGGAGGAAAGCATCGTCATCTCAGACGTGTGTGACATCGTGTACCGATATGCAGCCAACCACTTCTCCGTGTACATCACCTACGTCAGCAACCAGACGTACCAGGAGAGGACCTACAAGCAGCTGCTGTGAGTGTGTGGCCCTGCCACCAGCCCACTCCCTCCCCGCTCTAGGCGTGTTCCAGGGGTAGGGCCCAATCTCTCAACACTAGTTCGGGCCCAGGAGACCCCCAGCATCCCCACTGGGCTGTGCAAAATTCTAAGAGACTTAAAAAAAAAAAAAAGGTCAAGAGGACCACTCATGCCCATGGCCCAGGACAGGCTGTGACATAGGGATAAAGGAAGGGAGGGCGACAGGGGCCCTGAGCCAGCCACTCTGCCTGTGTGCTGACTCCCCTGGGGTTTGGGGCCTGCTGGGTTTTCGCTCTGGGAAGCATCAATCATCTTCTGCAGGAGACAGCCAGGTTCCCTGTGCTCCCCCACCTCTCGGGGCAGTCTGATCCCCTGAATGTCCCACCTAATCTTTAGCCCCCCCCTCCCCAAACTCCTTCCACCAAGCAGGGGTCAGTGTAGACTTGGGGATTTCACGTTTGAAAATACTGGATGGAGAGATGGTACAGTGAGTAAGGTACTTGTATTGGGTTGCCTCGTATGCAGCTAACCCAGGTTCGAACCCCATATGATCCCCAAGCCCACCAGGAATGACTCCTGAGCACAGAGACAGGAGTTGTCCCTGAGCATCACCAGGTGTGCCCCCCCCCAAAAAAAAAATTCTGGACCGAGGTGGCTGGAGTGAGAGTACAGTCGGTAAAGTACTTGCCTTGCATGTGGCCAACCTGGGATCCATCCCTGACATTCTATAGAGTCCCCCAAGCACCGTCGGGAGCAGTTCCTGAGTTCAGAGTCAGAAGTAAGTCCTGGGCATTGCAGGGTGTGTGTGACCCAAATAAAAAATAAATCAACAACAAAGAAAAATTCAGAACTGTGCCCATTGGGATGTTGTGCTGAGAACAGGAGAGGGGAGTGGAGATGTCGCAGCACCAGGGCTGTCAGGGCCTGAGGAGAAGGCAGAGACCCTCAGGGTGACGTGCCGCTGATGAGCGTGAGTCACAGCAGCTGTCTGCAGCCCCCTGCTGTCCGTCCTCGTTCGGGTGGAGCTGACCCCACACGGTTTCCTGCTGGGCAAATGAGCCAAGTGTGCGACTGATTCCTAGTCTTGGCCACACAGGGACTCGTGCCCTCCCACACGCTGGCGCTTGGATCCATCTTCATGGGCGAGGCATGGGGAATCGCTCTTGTTAGCTGACTTGATCGATTATGAACCGTTTCTTTCTTTGCCGTTAAAAAATGCACACCAGTAAACGGACGCATGTGCCCTGTGCCGGTGGGCTCTCTGGTTCCCAGGAGGCTCCAGGTCGGGGAGCAAATGCCCCTGAGGAGCCAGACACCTACTCTGGGGTCTGTGTCCCCAGCCAGGAGAAGGCAGCATTCCGGGAGCTGATCACGCAGCTGGAGCTTGACCCCAAGTGCAAGGGGCTGCCCCTCTCCTCCTTCCTCATCTTGCCTTTCCAGAGGATCACGCGCCTCAAGCTGCTGGTGCAGGTAGGGCCCCGCCCACCCGCCGTGAGGTCACGCCCACGGCCCACCCATATGCCTCGAGTGCCCGCCCAGACGGTGTCTCCCACCCTGGAGAACCACCGGACCTGCGGTTGGTCCCTGACCACGCGCCTTTGAACCACGCCCTCCAGCCTTTGGGGTCCGCCCCTTCAGCCTTTGGGCCCCGCCCACCGCCTTGAAGCCACGCCCTCCAACCTTTTGTCCCCGCCCCTTCAGCCTTTGGAGCCCGCCCCTCTCGCCTTTGGGCCCCACCCATCCACCTTTGAACCAACCCTCCAGCCTTTGGGCCCCGCCCCCTCGCTTTGAGCCCCGCCCCCCTCGCCTTGGGCCCCGCCCACCCGCCTTTGAACCACGCCCGCCAGGCTTGGGGCCCCGCCCCTATCACCTCTGGGCCCCGCCCACCCCTTTGGGCCCCGCCCACCGCCCCCTGTTCTGAGCCCCTGAGTCCCTCTGCACCGGCCCTTTAGTCCACTGCTCTCTGCCGGCTTTCCGGAAGCCCATTTGTTCCACAAATCTTAATTTTGCTCCCGCCGTGTGCCAGGCACACATTCTGGGGTGGGGAGCCGAGGCCCTCAAGAAACGTGGCTGTGAGGACAGCGACCCGGGTATCCGGAGCGGGTACGCCTGGACACGGCGGCGAAAGCCACGGTCTGTGCAGAAGCCGGGGTGGGGCGCACAGGCCCGGGGCAGTGGGCGCTGCACCAGCGGGGATAGAGGCGGATCTGAGAGCTCACAGCGCCGCCACGTGGACGGAGACGGAAACTGTCTGGTTAGAAAGCCCGGGACAGTGGCTTAGGGGGTCCCCGGAGTCTTGAGAGGCTGCAGGGTGCCCCAGGTGGACGATATTTCCATTTCCGGTCAGCAAACTGAAAGGAAACCCCCAAGATGAGCATTTTATTCAGAGAGGTGGGACCTACACCAGAGGTGTGATGAGGGATGGGGAGAGTTAAATGACAGGTTTGGGGACTCCCATGGGGGGAGTGCAGGGGGCGCAGTGTCAGGCAGGGGGGCTCAGAGATGGGGCAGGGCTGGGACGGGTGCACCCCAAAGAGTTCCGGAAACAGGCGAGGTCCCTGGCTCCAGTACTCAGTGCTTGGGGCCAGGGTAACAGGGACAGCACAGTCTCAGGACTGGGTGCAGGCCGGCTGCAGTGGGCAGTGGGACACGACAAACTGCCCTCTTGGGACCTGGGATGGAGCCTGGCACTGGGCACCTCCTGGCCCATGTTTCTCCCAGCGCTGCAAAAATTTAAAAAATCATTTGTAGGCAGACTGAGCATCATTTTATGTTAAATCACCAAAAGTGGACAATTGGGGCTGGAGCAATAGTACGGTTTGAGTGCCAGCACCCCATAGGGTCCCCCGAGCCTGCCAGGAGAGGTCCCTGGAGTACAGAACCCGAGTCAGCCCCGAGCACAGCGGGTGTGGCCCTCCACCCCACCAAAACCAGGTTTTTTATTAAGCGAACCACTAGGGAAAAGAGACACCTGCATCAATAAGGTCCAAGCGAACAGAGTTCTGGGGTCACTGGATGCAATCCTGGAGGAAAGGAGGGGGGACTGGGGTTCCTGCAGAGGGTTCCCCCTTCCACAGCCGCTCCTGCGCTCTGCCTCCCGCGGGGGCTGACTCCGCTGCCCACGCTGGCCACACCTGGCCCAGCTGTGAGGCCAGTGCCGGGCTGCGGGTCCAGCGCATCAACCTCTTTCTCCGCATGCGCAGAACATCCTGAAGAGAGTGGAGGAGCGCTCGGAGCGGGAGGGCACCGCCCTGGACGCCCACAAGGAGCTGGAGATGGTGAGCGCCCACCTGTGCGAGTGCTCCCCAAAGTCCTTTGTCCCCCCCCCCTTCCTGATCATGCTCCCTAGGATGCCCGGAGGTGAAGGTCTGAGGAAAGTGCAATATTATTTTAATATTGGCTTTTGCGATCCAGAAAAGTCTTTGGTTCTAAATCAGAGTGGTTCAGATGATGGGATCAGGGAAGGAAAGTCCCCCACCTCCCCGCACCTCAGCCACCCGGAGCCTGTTGGTCTGGCTCGTCCTTTGACAGATGACCGGTGATGTGTCTGTCAGAGGTGGCACAGACTGCGTGGGGCCTGGGCAGGGCGGGCGCTGCCCTTCCCAGAGGCCACAGCCCGGCCCTCAGCCCAGAGGTGTGGGGAAGGGCTCCAGCCTCAGCCACTGTGGACGGGCCCTGACGCACCCTCCGGCTTGTCCAGGTGGTGAAAGCCTGCAACGAGGGCGTCCGGAAGATGAGCCGCACAGAGCAGATGGTCAGCATCCAGAAGAAGATGGAGTTCAAGATCAAGGTGAGCGCCTGCTCCAGAGGGCTGTGTGCCCTGGGCCCGTGGGCCAGGAGCTTCCGGAGACTAGGATGCACGGCCCCAACCTTCTCCCATACTGTCACATGAGCTCTGCCCCAGGGCCTGAGTTAGAGACACACCAAGGGCCCAGAGGAGTGTTGAGCCAGGATCGGGAGTCGAGCCCCACTCCCAGATGTACCTGCAGCCACGAGAGGGGTCCCTCACCCTTGACCTCTCACCCCTGGCCTCTCACCCCTGACCTGATGCTCACTTCCCCGCTGTGAACCTGGCGGCTCCGATTCTCACCGCAGGGCCTGTGCCCAGACCCACACGCTAAACACGCATGATATGCATGGAGAGAATATGTGCAGTCACAGTCCACAGACACGCAATAGGCATCGAGCGCATATATGTGCCGAACACGTGCACATAAACCGCTCGGACACGTGATAGAGCCTTGTGCAGACACACTAAACTCACACGCACAGACACACGTATGCAGAGCAGACTCGGTGCGCAGACCCTGAACAGGTACACGAAACACGCATGCGCAGACTCATATGTGCAGAGCAGACTCCCATGTACAGACAACACCCGGCAGGCACACTAAACGTACCTGCACCCAGACAGACGCACGATGCACACTGGACAGGCATGTGTGCACGCAGCACCGGTGGGTACACGAAACGCGTGCTTGCAGGCACGTGGTCTAGGCAGAACAGACAGACATGTGCGCACAGCGACTTGGGGAAACCCGCACGTGCGCGCGTGTGTGCCGCATCCCGAGCGCGCCCCCCGTGGGAAGGGCTGCAGGGGTGCGGCGGGGCGAGGCAGCGGGCGGGGCGGGGTGGGGCGTGGCCCTGAGCAGCCCCTCCCCGCAGTCGGTGCCCATCATCTCGCACTCGCGCTGGCTGCTGAAGCAGGGGGAACTGCAGCAGATGTCGGGCCCCAAGACGTCCCGGACGCTGCGCACCAAGAAGCTGTTCCAGGAGATTTACCTCTTCCTCTTCAACGACCTGCTGCTCATCTGCCGCCAGATCCCGGGGTGAGGCCCCCGGCCCCGCCCCTCCAGGCGGCTCCCTCCCCAGCCTCAGTTTCCCCTCCTGTCGGGGGACATTAGGACGTGTGTGCCAACCCCCACCCCCGTCCGGTCCCCCCGGGGGAGGTTGCTGAGCGGAGCGAAACTCCCCGCCTGCCCCCTCGGTCCGCAGGGACAAGTTCCAGGTGTTCGACTCGGCGCCGCGGGGCCTCCTGCGCGTGGAGGAGCTGGAGGACCAGGGCCAGACGCTGGCCAACGTGTTCATCCTGCGGCTGCTGGAGAACGCCGACGACAGGGAGGCCACCTACATGCTGAAGGCCACGTCCCAGTGAGTGCAGCTGCGTCAGCGCCGCCCGACGTGCACGCATGTGCCCGGCTCTCGCCCAGGCGGGCCATCAGCCCTGGGCCTGTTTCCTGGGGACCCTCTGAACAGGAGGGCCAGCAGCCCAGAGGGACGAGAGGGTCCACCTGGGAGAAGCTGAGTGCAGGGTGGTGGTGCAAAGTGGGGTCCCCATGGGGCCTCAGCCCTTCCCAGCCGCTGACCGCCCAGTGCTTTACTGTGTGGCTGAGCTTTGGGGTGTCTCGGGTGCATCCCCCCTCCGCTGACTTTAAACACGGGGGACATCAGACAGGGCCCCCGTGTGCCACTGGCACCCCCGGGCTCTGTGGGTGAGGTGTGTGGTCTCTCCCCCGTGCCAGGAGTGAGATGAAGCGGTGGATGACTTCGCTGGCCCCCAACCGGAGGACCAAGTTTGTCTCCTTCACATCCAGGCTTCTGGGTAAGGGAGCCCCCAGCTCCGCGCCCACCCGGCCCCTTCTCAGTGGTGGACTCCCCGTGGCGGGGGTGGGGGTTCAGCTCCCCGGGGACCTGGTGATAAGGCTGGCCCCCTCCCCCAGACTGCCCACAGGTCCAGTGCGTGCACCCATACGTGTCCCAGCAGCCGGACGAGCTGACCCTGGATCTGGCCGATATCCTCAACATCCTGGAGAAGACGGAGGACGGTGAGCGAGACCCCTGCCTGCCCCCTGCTTTCCTCGCAACGGCCGGGGCACGTCCTGTCCGGCCCCTGGGAGTTCAGGCCTAGCCTCTGCCTGCCCACCCCGGGGTGGGTGGTGTCTGAGTTGAACCTCGATCTGCTGACCCCCAGCTCTAGTCTCTGCTGCTGCCCGGCCTGATGGGGCTCGCGCCCCCTAGGAAGGGGTCAGAGTCCCCCAAAATGCAGCCCCTCCCTTGGTTCCCCCTCCAGGCCTTGGGGTGGGGCCTGTCACTTTGTGGAGTGGGGGGCTGACAGGGATGGGGTCACCTCTCCTGGCGGGCCAGGCTTGTGGCGGGCTCTGGCAGGGGCTCACCCCGCAGCAGAAGCCTGGCTTTGGTTTGTCCTAGTCCTGGGCACAGGCCCCACTTCAGAGTGGGGAACAAGGCCAGGCTGGGGGTGGGTGGGTCCCCTACCCCTGCCCCCAGGGAGCTCCTGACCCCAAGCTCCGCCCCGCGCAGGCTGGATCTTCGGCGAGCGCCTGCATGACCAGGAGCGAGGCTGGTTCCCCAGTTCCATGACCGAGGAGATCCTGAACCCCAAGATCCGGTCCCAGAACCTCAAGGAGTGTTTCCGGGTGCACAAGATGGATGACCCCCAGCGCAGCCAGAACAAAGAGCGCCGGAAGCTGGGAAGCCGGAGCCGACAGTGACCCGCGGGGGAGGCGCTGGGACAGACGGGCCACGTGTGTGTCTCGGCCACGTCTGCTCCAGATCCGTGGGACGGACCTTCCTGTCTCCTGGAGGGTGACAGGGCCGGCATGCCGCGGGCGCCCCACACCCAGGGTGAGGCTGCGGGCGGGCGCCGAGGTGCCTCTCCTGCCCCCTGCACGCGTCCCTCTGTGCCCCGAAGCCCCTGGACCCACCAGGAGGGCAGACAGGCCGTCCAGACCGGGCCCTGTGCCCGCAGCCCTGTGGCCCTCCTCGGGCTGATGGGCCGCATGTCGCCGGTGTCCTCTGGCCTCTGCGGGAGCCCAGGGGCCGTGAGGGGTGACGGCCACTGCATCTGGGATGGGTTATGGGTCCAGGAAAAGCAAACCTCGTTGTTGGCTGCATTAAAAGAAGCATCATGTATAAAACGGGGCAGTGAGCTTCTCTTTCCGTCGCCCCAGGGCGCCCGGAATGGTGTGTGGGTTCTGGGGTGGAGGGGTTGCAGAGCCCTGTCGGGGTCTGCGGGGGCCATACAGCCCACGGGGTGGGGCTGAGTAAGCAGAAGAGAGACCCCCTTTGGCTGCAGCAGGTTCCAGTGACCACAGAGGGACTGAGGGAAGGCGACCCTGAGGCCTGCTGGAGGCCGGCTTTGAGCATGGGTGTCCATGGCTCAGCGGGAAGGGAGGGGCCGTCCCTGCAGCTGGCACACCTGGGCCCAGGGCAGCAGCGTGTGTGCCTGTACCGAGTCCTCTGGGGCATGGGTGGGGGGGTGGGGAGGGGGCACGGGGCTGGCCTCTGCCCAGCTTTTCTGAGGCTGGAAATTTTCCCAAGGGTCACCTGTGTCAGGGCCAGGACACCATCTCGGCGTCAGAGTCCATGTCTTGGCAAACTGAAGCTTTGACCCCACCAAGTGTTTGGGGAAAGAGTGTGGGGGACCCAGGGCTAGAAATGCCGGCAGAAGGTGGGGGGGGAGAGCCCTCAGGGCCTGGGCAGTCCCAGGCCTTTGCCTCTGTGTAAAGCCCTACTGGAACTCTAAGCGTCCAGAGGGCTCCTGGGAGGCCAAGGGGAACCAGGGCCAGGGGGAGGCTTCCCCTCGCCCCGCACCCCAAGGGGTTGTAGTGAAGAGGGTGGGCTGGAAGAGCTTTTATCTCTGGTCCTTGGGGAGGGCACCCCTCAGTCTTTTTCTTGCTGGCATCTGAACCCTAGTCTCAGTGCGGGGGCGGGCACGGTGCCCCCAGCCTCTCATGGGCCCCCTGGAGGGCTTGGCCCCCGCCCCATTAACGAGAACCCCACTTCCCACACACCCCTGATCACCCAGCACAGAAGCAGGGAGCAGCGGCGGCTGTGTCCGCACTCCCCCACCCCCACCCCGGGAAAGGGGTGGGCGACGGGCAGAGCCCCCTGCCCCGAGCACGTGCCCCACCCCGGGCCCACCCCGGGCCCCGGACACACGGGAGACTCAGCTGCGCTGTCGCGGGTCACGGCCCTTTATTCGCTTCAGGAGGCGGAAAACTTTCTCAGCGCGACCACGACGAGCGCCAGGACCACGCAGGTGGCCAGCAGGGCGGCGATGACGATGGCTGCGATGGCGCCGGGGCCCAGGGAGCCTGCGGGGGCGGGGGGGGGCACATGCTGGGGGCGCGGCCGGTCCTGGCCGCCCCCACCCACTGGAGCCGCGCCCCGCCCGGAGCCCGCCCCATCACAGGGTACCCGGAGCCCCTCCCAGTGCCCCGCCCCATCACAGGATCACAGGGTACCCTGAGCCCTGCTCCATCACAGGGTACCCAACTCCCGCCCCATCAAGGGTACCGGGGTCCCGCCCCATCACAAGGTACCCGGAGCCCCGCCCCGCCCCCATGCCCAGCTCCCCCCACCCGTCCCCGTGATCTGCCCCACCCTCGTGATTCTCCCTGGCCCTCCCGGTGCCCCTCCCCATGCTCCACCAGCCCCTTGATGCCCCACCCACCTCGCCACCTGAGTCTCCTGGTCCCTCCACCACGGTGCCCTGCCCCGTGCCCCGCCCCTCCTCTGATGCCCCGCCCACCCCGCCCCATGATTCGCCTGACCCTCCCCGGTGCCCCGCCCCTGCCCCGCCCCTCCCACTGATGCCCCGCCCATCCCGCCCCATGATTCGCCCGACCCTCCCCGGTGCCCCGCCCCTGCCCCGCCCCTCCGCTGATGCCCCGCCCACCCCGCCCCATGATTCGCCCGACCCTCCCCGGTGCCCCGCCCCTGCCCCGCCCCTCCGCTGATGCCCCGCCCACCCCGCCCCATGATTCGCCCGACCCTCCCCGGTGCCCCGCCCCTGCCCCGCCCCTCCCACTGATGCCCCGCCCATCCCGCCCCATGATTCGCCCAGCCCTCCACGCTGTCCCGCCCTGTGTTCCGCCCCTCCTCTGATGCCCCGCCCACCACGTCCCATGATTCGCCCAACCCTCCCGGTGCCCCGCCTCACGCTCCACCCCTCACATTGATGCTCCGCCCACCCCACCCTGTGATTGGCCCGATCTCTCCACGTGCCCCGCCCTGCTCCGCCCCTCCCCGGATTCCCCGCCCACCCCGACTCCTGGTTCCCCTGGGCCCTCCCCCGTGACTGTCCCATGCCCCGCCTCCCCCATACCCCGCCTCGTCTTTCTCTCGTGTCCTGCCCCCTTACCTGCACCAGGGTCCACGTGCCCAGTGCTGTCGTGGTCCTCAGGGGCCAGTGTAGCGCTGGGGGCCGCGACAGCGGTGGGCTCGGGCTCACGGGCGTAGCTAGTGCTCTCGGCCGGGCCTTCTCCCGAAGGCAGCTCCATGGGCTCGTTCCACAGCGTGGGCACCGGCTCCTGCGGCCCCTCGGCTGCAAGGCCAAGCATGCGTGGGTCAGGTCGCGGCGGGGACAGGGGAGGGCGCTGGGGGTGGACCTGGGGTCCTGGGCCCCTACCGGGCTGATGGGCAGGAGGGAGCAGCTCTGAGCCAAAAGGGGTGTGATCTCTGCACAGCAGGGAGGGCTGAGCACTGGCCGGAGCTGGGACCCCCACAGCTCGGCAGAGACTCCGGCGCCCCCAGTAAGCCCCGGAACAGAGGGCAGGCAGGGTAGGTCTGGCTTGGAGGAGACCAGGAGAGTGGCCCCTCCGGAAGCGAGAGTCCCTGGCCCCCTAGTGCCCTGGGTAGAGCCAGTCAAGTGTGGGGGTGTCTGTGGTCAGTGCAAACTCGGCAGTGACTGGTGCCCCCACCCCAGCTGGGGTACCACCCGCTCCTCAGTCGTCCCTGCTGTGTTCTCAGCTCTTGCAGGGTTTGGGGTACTACCCAGGGGCCCCAGAACAGAAAGGACAGCTCAGAGGCTGCAGGCAGTCCATGACATCATGCCTTCCTCCTTCAAGGATTCGGGGGCGAGGAGGGGTCGCCCACCCCTCACAAACACCGTCCTTCCAGATAGGAGGCCCAAGGCACCTGGTAGAGAGGTGGACTTCACCTCATCTGACCCCGACCCTGGGCTTTAGCAGGTAACGGGCGGGCAGTGTTCTTGGCAGGAAACTGCTGGGCTGCCCAGAATAGAAACCAAGGCTTGAGGGCCCCCCGAGTCCACTTCAGTGCTTCGAGGGCCTCATCCCCCCCCCCCCCCCGTGTGGTCTCTCTCTGTTTCCCTGGGAACTATAAGGAAGCTGGGGTCCTTGTCCACTGCCCCGGGACCTCTGTCTGTGCTCCCCCTGCTTTCAGGCCTGAAAGCCTCCCCAAGGGGGTGCTCAGGAAAACTAGGGATGCCCCAAATGAGGAGGACTTAGGTCAGGCCCGAAGTAAAGTGGGCTTTCCACCCCTTCCCGGGAGTCTCAGCACCAGCTGTGGCCTGGATGGGGCTTCACGGCATTGAGAGCTTTTCTCTGGGAGGGGCACACCCCCAGCCTGAGGTGGGGGCTGTTCTCGAGGGCTTCATGGGGTGCCTGGGGTCAGAGTGGTGTTCTGGTCTGAGCAGACTGACCCTGTCACCCTCCTAGGGAGAATGGAGGGGCAAGGGTCCGCCTCTGGAAAGGGGGTCCCAGGGGAGGGGCCGAGTGGATCAGGAGAGGAGGCCGAGAGAGAACAGTGTCACAGGGTCCCTGGCCAGCCCACCCACGGAGATGGGCACCCTGAGGGTGGGGTGGCTCTGGACACTGGCCTCTGGCGGTGACCCAAGGGCTGGACAGAGCACGGCTTAGTGCCCTGCTGCATGGCCAGCCCTGAGGTCCAGAGCTCAGACGGTCCCCAAGTAAACAGTAAGCCATGGCCCCCTCCCAGCTGTACCCCAGAACCTGGGCCAGCAGGCCCCGCCCTGCACCCTCACCTCCAGCTGCTGCCTCTGGCCAGGGTGGCCACCAAGAACCACGAGGCATGGGGCCAGCGGGCTTAGTGGCAGGCGGGCCTCAGGCCTGTGGTCAGCCGGACGACAAGCCCACCCGACCCCCAAGAGCAGGGGCCCCCTCCCTTCCCAGAGCTAGTGAGGCCCAGGGGAGGCCCCGCCCTCCGCAGTTGGCCCTTCAAGGGGCACCCACTGACCACTGGCAGCCCCTATCCCACAACTGCCACACTCCTTGGCAACCACGTGACCGGGAGCTCAGGGCACTGCACCGGGGGCTCCCTGCTTGGAAGGACAGAGCCCGTGCCCACCTCTCGGTCCTGCCCCCACCAGACCCCGGAAGACCCACTCAGGCCCCGGGCCCCCTTCCCGACCTGGAGAACGGGGGTCCCATCTGGGAACCAGCTGCCGAAGCCCTTGAAGCCGGGGCCCCAGGGCGTGAGCCAGGCAGCGGCCACAGACCCCGCCACACGCTCTGTGATGCAGCTCATGCCCCGGGAGCTGCCCGGAGCTGTGCCCAGCGGCCCCGCTCAGGCCTCCAGCTGCTGGGCAGGAACAGGGCATTTGTTTATGCTCTTCTGCGACTTGGTTTCTCCTTTTTGCTGCAGAGAGGAAAACTGTGTGGCCTGCTGCGGGCCGTGGCAGGGAACCGGGGGTAACCCCTGGGACAGGATGAGAGTGTCAGGGAGCAGAGGGGCGCAGCGGAGGGAGGCCCCGGGGAGCCCGCGCCAGCAGAAGGCTGGGTGCCACCCCGACTCCACGCTGACCTGGAAGCCAGGAGGGGCCCAGAGGACACTGCCGGCCCTGCCGGCCGCCTGCCTGTCGGTGCAGAGTTTGTTTAGTGCGTGCCCCGACCACAGGGCCCCGCGGCCGGGCGCCCCAACTCACAGGCGCCTTTGTGAGGGCCGTGAAGGGCCTTTTCATGCCGCCCTGGCCTCCCGCCCGCCCCGGGCTGCTCCCCACCCCAGAGCCCGCATAGCGGCCCGGGCAGCCAGCAGCAGGGAGCGCTGAGCCCCCCTCCGCCGCACCCCACCCCAATGGGCAGGACCCCCATCCGGCAGGCTGAGGGGGGGCTGCAGTTCGTGGGCCTGGCACACCTGGACCTTCTAGCCTTGAGCCCCAGAGACTGCAGGGGAGGGGCCTGCCTGCCTGTGCGGGACAGGAGGAGGCAGGAGGGGTGAGGCAGGAGATCTGGGAGACGCCGCCGCCCCCCCCCAGATGCGGTGGCACTCCAGGACGCCCACCCAGCCGGCTGTGTCTGTGGGGTCATCTGAGGCCTCGGGCGGGGTCAGCTGGCTGCTTCGGACAGGAGTGGACCAGCAGGCAGGTGTCCGTGAGCTGCCCTGACCCAGGCGAGAGGAGCTTCGGGGGGGTGGGGTGCTAGGGGATGGAGACCCCCCCACCTCCATCCACCACCTTCTGCCACTTCCCCAGTCCCAGACACCCAGGGGTCAGGAGCCCATGTCTGCATCCTGACACCACAGAGGGGACAGGGCAGCCCCTCCATGTCCTGCTGTCCCCGTCACACTCCCCCCCTCCCCTGAGCCCCAGAGCCCCGGGGCACAGGTGACCCTAGACACCCCTTTGCAGGTTCCCTGGGACCCCGTGTCGTGCTCTCAGCGTGGCCGGCTCCTCTGCCAAGCTTCTTGTCACTGGGCCCCAGATCTAGCCACGGGGCCTCCTTCTGAGTCCGCCAGTGGGGCTGAGGGTTCCGGACCCTGCTCCCCCCAGAAGGTGCTTGAGTGGGACCAAGCACCAAGTCTGGAAGCCGGCGGGAAGGGACGGGAAGGGACAGCGCCAGCCCTGTGGCTTCAGTTCGGCCTCGGGAACCCCAACCCTCAGCCCTGGGTCGGGGATTCCTCCTGACCCTTGACTCTGCACACTCCAATCTGAGGGTCACCCTCAGGACGCCCCCACCCCGGGAATAACCCTGGAACTCTGCTCCCCAAGACCTCCTCCCACTGTCACCCCTGTCACTTGGCCCCTGCCCATCTCTAGGGCGCCTTCTGCAGAGCGGAGCCGGGCAGGGGCGGCAGCAGAGCCCAGGGCCCCCTCACCTGTGAGCACGGCGGGGGCCAGGACCCCCGGCAGCAGCAGCAGGGCCAGGCAGAGGGTCATGGTGGCGAGGAGTGAGCGCGGCCGGCCGGCGAGCAGGGTGCGGAGGACAGAGCTGGGGAACTCCAGGGCGGCGGGAAGGAGGCATCAAAGGACTGGGAAGGGCTTTCGTCAATGCCAACTCTGTCCTCCTGGGACACCGTGCCCGCCCCCACGCACACACGCGCGCGGGAGGGAACCGGAGCCCAGTCGGGCGGGGGCGCCCCACCCTCAGGAGGGGGAGAGGAAACGGCCGCCTCTCCCCAGCCTCCACAGACTACAGCGCCCCGCGAGTATGTGCAGGGACTCGGGACCCACTTCTGGGCTTGGGCTCCCTTTACCTGGCTGGGAGGGGACGCGCGGAAGAGCGGGGACAGGGCCGGAGCCGGAGCACCGCGGGGAGAGCTTTGCCTTGTCTGTGGTCAGCCTGGGTTCGATCCCCGGCACTCCGGATGGTCCCCTGAGCACCACCGGGAATGATTCCTGAGGGCAGAGCCAGGAATGTGGCCCTCTTCACCCCAAAGATAAAGTGTTTTTTTTTTCTTTTTAAATAAAGCGTTTTTGGTATTTTTGTTACTGTGTCTGGCATATCGAATACTCTCGGTAGCTTGCCGGGCTCTCCGAGAGGGGCGGAGGAATCGAACTCGGGTCGGCCATGTTGGCCGCTTGTAAGGCGAACGCCCTACTGCTGTGCTAAGGGCTGGAGCAATAGCACAGCAGTAGGGCGTTTGCCTTGTGCACAGCCGGCCCAGGTGAGTCGGGTTTGATTCCTCTGCGCCTCTTGGAGAGCCCGGCAAGCTACTGAGAGTATCTCGCCCGCATGGCAAAGCCTGGCAAGCTCCCCGTGGCATATTCCACATGCCAAACACAGTAACAACAAGTCTCACGATGGAGACGTTACTGGGTCCAATCGAGCAACTTGAACAAAGGGAGGACAGTGCTACAGTGAAGTGCTCTAAGAGCAGAACAAAACAGCACCTTGTTTGCTGTGCCCCGAACCCAGGGCGTCACACGTGCAGGGGAGGGAGGTGCTGTGCTGCGGACCCCCAGCCCTGCTGTCGAGCGTCCTCGTTCCGTCCCAGAAAAACCGTCACTGAACGCTGACCCCCAGCACCCTCCTCTGGTCTGAATGCAGTGATTCCTGGGATGCTGAGGTTGCCGGATCCCCACCCTGCACGGCTCCCCCTGACTCCAGCACCTCTGAGCTTCCTTCCCAACCAACCTCAGGTCCCCTGCACCCCAACTCCCCTGGGCCCCAGCACCTCCTTCCTCACGTCCTAGCAATACAACTGTACGTCTCAGTACACTCCGCATGTGACCTGTCTAACCCAGAAGGGCAGGGTCCCTCCCCCACCTTGGAAACCCGCATGGATTCTCACTTGGAACTGAACGTCAGAGGACGGGCTTGCCTCCCCCACCCCTGCCACCCCCATGTGACTGGCTCCTGCCCAGGTCCCTGGCACTGCCTTCCTGGTGAAGCAGCAACCCTGCGTACCCCTCCATCTTCCATCCTACACAGCGCCCGCCACGGGTCATCAGCATCCTCGCCCCCCACTTTTCCTTCGCATTAACAGTCCTATAAAGCGCTGGGGTTGGTGAATTCAGGAGTTTCCAGGTTGAACGGGCCGACGTGTGACCAGCTGAGGGATCACACATCCACATCTGTGGAAAACATCTGCCCTAGCGGGGACGAGTCCTCTGAGCAGCCTTTCCCAGCCACACTGCGGGGCGCGGGGCACGTGGGCTTCTACTGAGGGACAGTGTTGGTGGACGACTGTCCCCCTGTGCACTCCCTTTGATCCACTTTGTCTACGCATCTTCTTGGGCTGCTTCCAGGTGGGAACGCTCAGATATGACTCACGAATCTGCCCCTTCACAACTCTGGTTAGGCATCAACTATGTATTTATTCTTTTTTTTTTTCTGGGGGGAAGAGAGGGTCTTATTGGGTCACATCTAGTGATGTTCAGGACTTACTCCTGGCTCTGCACTCAGGAATCACTCCTGGCGGTGCTCAGGGGACCGTATGGGAATCTGGGGATCGAACCCGGGTCTGCAGCATGCAAGACAAATGTCCTCCCTGTTGTTCCATCGCTCAGGCCTTGGACACGATTTCCCATGCTGCCCCACGCTCCCCAGAGTGAGCGTCTCAGCAGAGCTGAGTTCCAGTTGCTTCTCTCACCAACCAGGCCCGGGGGTCTTTCCCGCGGGAGCTGAGGCAGGGTCTGCGGCCACACCATAGAGCTCAGCAGCGACCCCTGGTGGTGCGTGGGGGCACCACAATTCCGGGCCAGGGTTGAACCAGAGTCAGCCGCTTAGAAAGCTGGCAGCTAACCCTGTGTGCCTTGCCTAGCCCTGTCGGTCTTTCAGCCCTTCCCCTAGTCATTGTCAGACACGAAGGTATTGCATATGTGTGTGTGCGCGCGTGCACACGTGTGTTACTTTTCAGCACTGTGATTTGCAATACTGTCAGTGATAGGGTTTCATGCGTGCACTGTTCCAACACCTCACTCTCCGCCACAGTACCCCCTACCAGCCAACATCCCCTTGCCCCCACCATGGTAATCTCAGCTCTGTAGGCCAGTTCTCAGGTCCTGTTGTCTTGGACTGTTTGTAAATACCTTACATTTTTTTTCTTTTGGGGGCACACCTGGCGATGTACAGGGGTTACTCTTGGCTCATGCACTCAGGAATTACTCCTGGCGGTGCTCGGGGGACCCTGTGGAATGCTGGGAATTGAACTCGGGTCTGGCGCGTGCAAGGCAAACGCCCTACCTGCTGTGCTATCACTCCAGCCCCGGTTTTGTTTTTGAGCCACACCCGAGATACTCAGGACTTCGTATTCAGAACTTACTCTAGGCTCTGCACCTAGGGACCAGATGGGCTGCTGAGGATTGAACCCGCCTGGCCATGTGCAAGTGCCCTACTTGCTGTAGGCCCAGCCTGTCATTCCCTATTTCTTTATACCCCACATACGAGAGATCGTTCTGGATCTGTCCTTCTCATCTTGGTTTTTTTTTCCTTCTTTGTTTGAGCCATACCCGGTTATGCTCAGGGGTTCCTCCTGGCTCTGCCCTCAGGAGTCACTCCTGGTGGTGCTCGGGGAGCCATAGGGGATGCTGGGGATGGAACTTGGGTCAGCCACATACAAGGCAAGCACCCTACCCACTGTCCTATCTCTCTAGCCCCCCATCTTTGGTTTGATTAGCCTTCATATGGCTAAGTTGAGCGCCTTCTCATATGCACTGAACACGGCTAGATCCTTTCATGGTCTGTTCAGGGTAGGGCTGTGTTCCCCCATTATTCTTTGAGTTCTGTGGGTGTTCATGGTGGAGGTTTAGACTCCACCATCCTCCAGAGGCCAATGGACAGCCAGGTGGGGCCCCGCAGTAAGGAGATATGGGATGGGGGGAGGGGCAGCCTTTTCCTCCCCCGCCCCAACGAGACCCTGAGTTGCCGCCCACGAATAGGCCCTCTGGCGGGTCCTCTGGCTACTCAACAAGCACCTTAAACCCTGATCCCAGAGCCTCAGAAACAAATCTCCGAACCCAGCGGCTTTTGGCAGAAACGCATCCGGACTCCGCATTAGGTGACCAGCCCCGGGCCACCCCAGGTGGGAATAGGTTTCATGCTGTCAGGGGAACAGGCCAAGGCACGAAACCTATTCTTACCTGGGGTGGCCCCCGGCTGGTCACCTAATGCGGAGTCCGGATGCGCTTCTGCCAAAAAGCGCTGGGTTAGAATATTTGTTTCTGAGGCTCTGGGAGCAGATCTATTTTGTTGCTGATACCAGGCACCTACCAATACTACATCTACTGTTCAGGCTAGTGTCTTTACCGTGCAGCGTTGAGTATGTTCCCCCCACCTCAAACTACCAGAGTTACTTAACTGACATTTAAGTCAGTGTAGAGTGTGTGAAAAAGGAACGCCATGCCCCCACCTACTCCCACTGTCACTCTCACTGTCCTCCCATTGTTCATCGATCTGCTCGAGCAGGCCCGGTAACATTGTGAGACTTGTTACTGTGTTTGGCATATCAAATATATCACGGGGAGCTTGCCAAGCTTTGCCGTGCGGGCGAGATATTCTCAGTAGCTTGCCGGGCTCTCCAAGAGGGCCGGAGGAATCGACCTCAGATCAGCCGTGTCGGCAGCTTGCAAGGCAAACGCCTTACCTGCTGTGCTATTGCTCCAGCCCACCTACTCCCAGTAAGGTAAAAGGTAAAGGTAAAGGCCCTCCCGTTGATCGTCGATTTGCTCGAGCGGGCCCAGTAACGTCTCCATTGGAGACTTTGTTGTTACTGTGTCTGGCATATCGAATGCTCTCGGTAGCTTGCCGGGCTCTCCGAGAGGGGCGGAGGAATCGAACTCAGGTCGGCCATGTTGGCCGCTTGTAAGGCGAACGCCCTACCCGCTGTGCTATCGCTCCAGCCCACTCCCAGTATGATATATATTAAGTAACTTCTCTGCGTGGACGTGAGTTTGGGGGTTAGAGGTTGCAGTGCCTTGAGTCTGGTGTAGGAGTGGGGTCTGGCGGTGGTCGTGCAGGCTGCGACATGGGGTCCCTGGGCTTCTGGTTGTGTGAGCTGCATGGTTGGGGAGGGGGCAGGCCTGGAGTGGGTCAGGCCGCGCCTCTTTCTGGTCTATTTCTTCAAGTAGCCTTCTACATTCACATTTCGGCTTTTCTGGTTTCCCAGTGTAAAAACCCTTTGTGTAATGGCACCTTTGGAGGAAGTGGTCACCGCTTACCTGTCTGTCCCCACCCTGGGCCTCTAAATGCATGTTCCATAGTCAGCGCAGGGTTCGGGGGGATGGGGGGTTGGTGAACATGTTCTCACTTGCTTCTGCACTTGTGATGACTCTTGCTTCTCCGTCCAGTCCCGTCGGCCCCTGGGCTCCGCAGCAGGGCAAAGCTATGAGCTGCAGAATGTCAGACCTCAGCGGCCTCACTCTGGCCAGTCGGCTTCCAGTTAGCATCTGCCGATAGAAGGCATTGCTGGGAACTGTAAGATGGGAGAGGTGGTCGCCCTCAACTTCTGAGGCCACCCAGGAGCAGCAGCCTTGCCCTGTCACCTGTGGCGGAGGGGTGGGGACAGTCACAG